GGGATGATGCAATTGAAAATGTTGTTATAAGGGTCATAATATTAACTTCTCGATTAATACAAGGTAGGACAAAATGGCACCAATTCTCAAGGATTGTTCAATTCGGATTCCTTCGAGATAGTTATGTATGCCTTTTGGTCTTAATGATTGTGGTAAATTTACCCTTTTAAAGGTACATTTAGTCTCAAAGTTTCTTTTTCCTTAATAGAAAATCAATACAAGTATTAATAATCTAAAATAGAAAATGTCACTTTCTCCACCTAATGCGATAATGGATCAATTTCAATTTTCCTAAGAATTTGTAGGCTTCATCATTAAAATTTTCAAATAACCATATGTGCTTTTAAAGAAGTGTAAATAACTAAGAAGATAATGGCTTTTTATGGTGGGCAAATAGCATTGTTTATCTAAGAAAAAGTATGCTGCCATTATGTGTTTGATAAACTATTGGTTTTCTTTTTGTTCTAAAAATATAACTTGAATTATTATGAACTACGTATATTGTGAGTCATATAGATCTTGGTTGGTCTTTTGCCTTTAACAAATGGCACTTTATTTGTTTAAAGTCCAATAAGTTATGTATTCCAAAATCCAAACCATTAGGTTGGTTCTTTTCCTTAGGAAAAACTATTTATAATACTATATGTTTTGGATTTTGTTCCTTCGATTAGTTGTGTTACATCTATATTTATGATGGTTTGAGTTTTTAACGTGTTTATGATGTAGATCTCATAATTATTCTAACCTAAATTTGACCATAACATTGCAAAAATCTTATTAGTGCTATTGGTTAAACATCACTATTTTTGTTCATATTTGGTAACTAAAACAAAAAGAAATACACTTAGTTACTTTTTGGTGACAAAGGAATGTAAACTATTCATGTATCTTATTTTAAAAAGTTATTTTAAAACATTTTTGCTGCACTTAAGGTAGTGGGGCCAATTGCTATTTTTGCAAGATGACTTCAAATTGTCATATTTATATGCTACAGTTAAAAGTTATCTTTCAAACACTAATAAATTGTTTTGTGATTATTATACATAGTAACAAGCTTTTCATCTTTTACAACTCAAATTTGGCTCTAGATAAAGTAAAAAATCAATATTCTATAATGCAATTGGACTACAAATTTGTGTTATCACCTATACAACTTTTGGTTGCAATCCAAAAAGGATAAGTACGTGAAATAATCAAAAGTGTGGAGTTTTAGGATGCTACTAGGTTATTTTGCATGACTTATGTAATACAATGCACATTCTTTTATGCTTAAGCTGAGTTTTCTGTTACTTTATGTGGATAATTGTTTTGTCATTTAAACATCATGTTTTTCCATCCTCCTGACTAATCATTATATTATTTTTCATTACATTCATTTACTTTAATAATGTTACATTTCATGAAAAAATTTTTGTTTATCTTCAGTTGCACATATGAAAATAATTATGTTTGTATTTATCTTCAATTGTGCACATGAACATAATTGTGTCTCAACTAAGCTGATATAAAAAGACCAACACATATGTCTTTCCTTACTAATATGTTTCAATATTACTTTCAAAATGTCATTAGAGCATTGAAATTAATAGGTCTAATCAGTTGTGTTGAGCTGACCACCTCCAAATCTGATGTGTACATTTAAAAACTTAGGTAAAGTAAAAAAAAATGTAAAAAATATTCATATTACTTTTATTTATCACAACTCAAATTTCATTCCACTACACCAATAAATACATTCTCAAAATTATAATGTGAGATAGTATAGTAATTTAAGATATCAAGAAAGAATAGCTTCTAAATAGCACGGCAAATATAAGTAAATTAGTTATGCATTTTGATTTTTAATCATTACATTCAAACAATAAGTCTACCACGAAGCACATGAATATCTCTATATGTATAATAATATCGTTTCATTTAGTAGAATGTATAACATGTGATGGGTATACATAATGCATTGCAAGTTTAAGATTTTATATAATATGTATAATAATATCTTTCCGCTTGGTAGCAGATATAACATTAGATGTAAATTTTATTCCATTCTATTTTTACACTACACCTTGTTCTTAATATATAGGAGATTTTATTTGCCTTGATAATTACAGCCTTTAAATTAAGTTTCTTTTTATATTTTGGGTTGTATATTTATTTTTTTCAACTTTGAATGTAACTGATTTATTCATGCTAATAGGATATTATATTTTTATTATATTTAAATCAAAATGGTGATGCAAACCAAATTAGAAAAAAATTTTATTTTGTTCATTGATAAGAATTAGTATTTCAAACTTCAAAGATGCAGTCTTCTAGCTCATAAGCTTTAAAAAAATTTAACTTAATTTTTGTTTGATACCAATATTTAATCAATTCTTTCACTTACCTCTTTTTGTTCAATGTTGACTTCACTATGTTAATACAATACTATCTTGATGATCTTTTGAATGATGTATGTTCCCTTTTTTTTTAAATTCTTAAATTTTTATTTTTTTGAGAATTGGTATTGTCATGGTTAAGTACAATAAGGAGCGGTTTGCTCTATTGTGAACTAGCACATAAATTTGTTCGTTTAATATTGATAGAAAGTACCTTGCGTACGCTTCAAAAAGGTTTCCTTATGGTCACTGGTTACTACATTTGAGGATTAATAACCTGTATGTAGCCTTAACTTTTGACAATCTTATAGTTTTTTTATTTTATTTTAAAGTAATGCAATATTGAACCTCGCTTTTATAATCATTTTATATTTGCATGTTTTTGTGTAAGAAGAAAAAAGAATTATAAAAAATCATAACCATTAATTTTTTAAAGCAAAACACTGTGAGAAATGCAATGAAAATAATTTTGCATGTTATATTCTATTTAAAATTTGCTTTTGTGGAAAGAGACATAGAATTGGGAAGGGAATATAATGTTTAAGTTGTCCAAGAAGGTTTTGGCATGGATAGCTAGAGTTATTGGTTTATTTGATATTTTCTACAATTTATGTTTCAACAATATGGTTTTATTTTGAATAACTTATGCTTTTTAGTAGTTTTTGAACTTTATGTTTAATCTTGACTTTTTCTTAATAATGGATTTCATGCTAATGAAATTTGCTTGGAATAGATTTGTTTTATGTAACTTATCCTTTGTATTAACCTTTGAACATATATATTTTATATAAATTATGTTTTCTATTACCTTCTTAATTATGCATTTCATGCTAAATTTTAAGGTACTATATAAATACAACTTTATTTTTTAATGATAGCCATGTCTACATGATATCTTTATTAGATAACCCATAAAAAGCTAAAAAAAATATTTTTATCATGCTCATACATTTAAATTTGCTTCCCATAGTATACGCGGGCCTTTGCCTAGTAAAGAATAAAAAACATATGATTTTATAGTTATTCCCATTTGTTACATTTATGAAACTATATTGAGAGAGGCAAAATTCCCTAATAATTAAATTTACCATATTATTCTTTCACATTTATAATTTTTTTTATAATACCTTCATGATATCTTTAGATTGTGTCCAAATCTAATTCACTTTTATATAATTTTAAAAGTATTTTTTTTTATCTTCAGCTTTTTGATCTAATAGCTAAGAAACTTAAGAAAACATGTAAAGAGAGAATTCAAACCCACCATCTTCGTTTCCTATCTCATGAATTCAAAAAAAGGTATGCTCTCCATATCTTCACAAGGCAATGAAACAATCAGGATTTAAATTTAAGGGTGTGCCATCTTATATAATATTAATTTTCAATTTTTAATAATTTTAAATAATAAATTTTTATACAATATCAAATAAGCTAATACAATAAGAAAAAATTATAGAAAACCTCACATAAAATTTATATTATTTAAGATTGGACAACAAATTTTCACACAATGTTGTTGGGTGTTTAATTTTATACAAGATAAAATTTTATGATTAATTCCACACGTGTTTAAGCTAAAAACCCTAACTTTTTAAAATAAGATATACAAAAATAATGCAATAAAAAGTAAAATTTTTGAAAAAAATCTATAATTTCATATTAAAGCTATACAGTAACCCCTTTTGTTTTCTAATTTACTATACACGTCAATAATGTCTTAAAAAAATTGATGGGTATATTTGGGCAAATAATACTTGAACGTTCTGGATTGATGAGTAAAAATTGAAGGTTTTAGATTTTTCGAGACAGTGATAGAGAAGAAAAGAAAACAAAGAGGAAGGAAGCAATAGAGAAAAGGAAGAGGAACGATTGACAGGGGAAAGGAGAAATGTTGTCAATGGACCAACCCTTCCATTATGACAACCTATAGATCTTTGTAAAGTCTCAATCTCCTCTTCCTCCCTCATTCCTTAATTTCTTGTTTTTTGTTTATTATTTTCTTATTTTAAACTTTTCCTATTTTTCAATTTTGCTTTTCTATCCGGCTAGTTTCTTTTCTTTTAATTTTGCATATGTGAAATATTTTTGCATTTTTCTAGTAAGGTCTTTTTGCTCGTTCTTTAAGTTACTTGATCAAAAATTTTTTTTTTTTTTGGTTTTAGGGTATTGTAGTTTAGATTTTGTTTTTTTAGATATTATTATATTTTTATATTTTGAAAATTGTTGACAATTTTTTCTAGAAGTTGGTTTTATGAAAGGAAAGAAGACGTTGTAAAGAAAGAAGTTCTCTAACGAATTCAAGAGGTAATTGCATGTGTTTTTTGTGAAAAAATTCATGTTCTCGTGAAATTTTCAAAATTGTATATATATTTTGATAGTTCATTGAAGTTTCAACTCTACTATTTGATTCAGCTAGGGAAAATAAAAGATAAACTATCTTTAACTATTTTTATAATCTATGCAATAAAAACTTCAAAATATAAAGCCACCCACAAAACCTAAGCAAAATTTTATATTTTTCTACTACTAAATCATGTTTTAACTTTTTTTTTTTAATTTAGGTAATTGGCTGAAACAATTTTTTATCATAACAATGCTGGCTGGTTTGAAACCCATATTAGAAAAATGCAAGCATATTTCATATCTCTTGAATGTTTATGGAAGGTATTAGAGAAATTGTAATTTTGATTAGCATATGTTCTTTATAAAAATGTAAAAAAAAAATTTAACCAAGTTAACATTTAAAGCTCAAATATTATAATCATTGTTGATTAAAAGAATTGCTACTCCTACATGGTTACAAAACTTCGTCCTCTTACTTGCCCTTTAGTGTTGCCTTCAAACTTACATGTTGTCTTAATATTGGTGAATAATTATGGCACCATATAAGCATGATCAAATGAAAGTATTAGTAACCAAAAAAAGTAAGCCTATAATAAGTTGATCATATGTTCATTACATGGCCATATAAAAAGAAAATTTATTGGAATTAACATCTTTTTATTTATCAAGACACAAGAAAAGTTGTATGTTTGGAACTTTTCTTTTCTTATTTTCATGTTTTGCTTGGTATCCTTATCTTGGTTATGTTTTTTTCCATGCTAGGGTGGTGAAAAGAAGGTGATCATTTCTATTCCCAATAAAGATGCCTTTGTGTTTGTTGTAGTTGTCAATGAGAAGAAATACAAGCCTAGCTTTGATATTGTCTCCAATACAAGCTGCATTACTAACTGCCTTGCTCTATTAGCTAAGGTAATAATGATTCCTCTTTTATTTATTTGAAGCATTGGGCTAATAATTTTATCTTTCAAGTAATAACAGACCTTAAACATAGTGGCAGGTCATCCATGACAAATTTGGCGTTGTTGAAGGTCTTATGATCACTATCCATTTGATTATTGGTAAGTAACTATGGTGTTTTATTTTTACTTGTTACAACTATTTATGTGTTGTTGAATGACCCATCTTTTTGATTCAGCTACCTAAGATATTGTTGATGACCCATCGATGAAGGACTAGAAAGGTAGCAGAGTTACTTCTTTGAATTTTTAGCTTATAGTTTGGTGGGTAGGCATTGTTTGAGGTGTAGTCATTATTGCACTATCTTATAACAAGGTAAATTGTCTTATTTTAAAACCAAGGTTTAGTTTAGTTGGTTCATGCAATCACTCTTAAAAGATAACATCTGACACATTTGAAGTTTAGATTCCAATATCTACAACCCATTTCTCTATCTCTAAATTATTGCCTCATTTGTAAAAAATGGCATGAAGTTTTACTAATTATATTGTCACTACTTTAGAAAAATAGATTGGATATTTTACTATGTATGACAAGAAAAACAATTATTATAAAACCATCAACAAATAAAAAAAGAAAAATTTTAACGCCTAAAAATATCCATTAGGTTCCTAAAGTTTCATCAGCTGCACCAATGGATGAACTAGGCATAAATGGAACAAATCCTCTTCCACCAAAAACTGGTATCACGAATCTATCATCAAATTTTCTCTGCAAGTAATGAACAATCCAAGTGGGGTGAGTCAATAGCAACCTTAAACTACTTTTCTTAAGAGCTGCCGGTTGGTTCTCTCTCAAATTACTTCATTCACCATTTTCAACAAAAAAAATTCTTAAGTCTTCTAGGCTGGGAATATTAGCATCGTCTGAAACATTAGGTTTTGCATTGATGAAATTCAAAGTAGAAAAAGGTAGCATAGGGCTACCTTAAAAAAGAAAGTGAAAAGGCAATGGCAAAGAAAGGGTAATCTTATTTGGTTTTATGCAGCTCTATGTCATAGAGTATTGTAAATGTTAGGCTACTGACATAACCTTCAATGATCCATTGACTACCTGTCAAACACATAGGCTATTCTAGCATTTTCCCTCTTCTTTCCAACTTTTCTTTTTTTTTTTTTTTAATTTTCTTCGAATTTCTTTTTGAAGTCAAAGAAGTGAAAAAATGTTTACTTTTTGTAAAATGAAATTCAAGGGAACTTGACAGTGATTGGTCAAATTTTTCTTTCGGTATGATTTTAGTAATGCTATTGAATATTAGTAGCATCATTATGTTGATCAAACTTCATAATTTCCATCTGATTTATTCAAGATCGATGTTTAAAGCTCATTTAAACATGTTGGAAACATTATGCAAATCAAGTTAAATAATAAACCATTGGGAATAGGGAAAGAAAAAAAAAAAGATTTGCAAGCCAATTATATTTTTGTTGATTCTGGTCCTACTTCTTTTCATTAATTATTTTATTAGTCTTATCAAAAACATTGTTATTATCATTTACATATGTGAATTCACAATCTTACTTTACTTATGTTTGAAGTTATTTGAGATCATTGTTTAATGTGATTTGTTTCACTTTGAAATTGAGTTTTGAATGATGAAGTTGAGGTTACATTTTTTTTTTAATGTTGGTTCTTCAATTTTGATTTTATGGCTTGATTTTTAATATTATTTGCTTTAAAGTTTTTTTAAGTTTTTAAGTTCGATTTGCATTTTTATTTGTTTTAATTTAGCTTTTTTTGTTATTTGTAGTTAATAGGGAATTGTTGGTCTACAATTTAACACCAGTCTTGACATGAGTATCCACTTTCTGGTTTCCAATGATCTCAAATTTGTAATTGTTAGTCACTCATACACACAAATCTCAAGTTTTATTATAGCAATTTTAGTCCTTGACAAGTAGCTCTAGAAATCTTCAACCATTTAATCCAAACCAGGCACAAGCTCCTGCACTGGACAAATCTAGGCCTCTCACTGCTACTGTCAAGAAGCGATCTCCAAAGGAACCCGGATAAATTAGTACATCTACAAAACCAGTAAATTCTCCCATGCAGAAAGAGGGCGATGCAGATGTCTTTATGGAATCAATCAAGAAACCAGAAGAGAATATTGTTAGTGATACAGCTAAGGGGCATGTAAGAGGATGCTATTGAAGAAGCAGAGGATGATGTTGATGAAGTGACTTGGCAAATCTACAAAGGACAGCTTACAGAGAAACAGGAAAAAACCCGTGATAGGATAATAAAGAGGACTGGAAAGGTGATGTCAAATGGTTTGGCTAGAAAAAAACTTGAATGTCATCAAAGAAGCTAAGATGCGAGAAAAGACGTTTGATCAAAAAGCTTCACTTAGATGAGCAAGGGTAGAAGCATCTCTTTCTGATGGTGTCTCATGGGCAAGGAAGAGGAAGAGGACTAAAGGGAATTTACACCAAGATAACGATTGTTGCTGTGGTACTTTTGATTTGTACACTCTCGCTTTTACTTTCGGCTACAATTACTGGAAATCGCAGATCTCTCCAGCCTTCTGATGTAGAAAAACTTTGGGAAACTGCCAAGACTGGCGGCTGGAGGCCATCATTTGCTCCAACCACAAACGGTGCGCTTTCCATGCTTATATATTGGCAAGGTTACTATGGGTCAACAAATGGTCTTTCTCCACAGCAGCAACCTTTATTCCGACTCCCACCGGGCTTGCCAATGCCACCTTCCATTTTTTTGAAAACAGTCAGTTGCTGCCACCCTTTGCTCAGAAGGACGTGGAGACTGTTCGTGTGTCACCTCCAGAATTGATGTTAGTACCAGACATCTCTGCATTTATTCGAAGAAGGGCAGCTGCCTATCCTATGTTTGTGATGATAGAGAGGAATATAGTTAGCAAAACCAGCTTCAAGACAGGTTCACCCAATACCTTAAACCCGAGTCATTCATTAATCAAAACTAGAGCCTTGAGTTGGAACCCATTCAAGAAACAATCTAGGCTTGATTCAGAAAGTTGACTCAAATTGGTTTTGATCCGGGATTAAGCTCAATTTTTGGTAAGATATTTTCTTTCTCGTTTTGATTTTTTTGGTTGTAGCATGTCATTTATTCACTCATTTTATTTTATGTTTTCATGATTTAAAAACATTGGTTAATAATAAAAATAATAATTTCAAGAAAAAATATATTTTTGAGGAAAATTTGAAAGTATCAATTTTCCTTAAAAATAAGCTTTCCAAAAAATATTTTTAGGGAAAAGTTGAAAGTATCAATTTTCCTCGAAAATCAAAGTTTCCAAAAAATATTTTTGGGTAAAAGTTGAAATTATCAATTTTCCTTAAAAATAAATTTTCAAAACAAATATTTTTGGGGAAAAGTTGAAAGTATCAATTTTCCTTAAAAATTAATTTTTAAAAAAAGTTTTTGAGGAAAAGTTGAAAGTATCAATTTTCCTCGAAAATCAAAGTTTTCAAAAAATATTTTTGGGGAAAAGTTGAAAGTATCAATTTTTCTTAAAAATAAATTTTCAAAAAAATAAATTTTCGAGGAAAAGTTGAAAGTATCAATTTTCCTCAAAATTAAATTTTCAAAAGAATATTTTTTGGGAAAAGTTGAAAGTATCAATTTTCCCTGCACTAGAACAATCATTCTTCCTTTTTATTTGATTTTGATTTTTCTTTAAATAATCCGATGACGGAGCCTCTGCAAGTGAAACAGTAGTTTTCTTGCATACTCTTGAGGTGAGAGAATTTTTTCAATTTTCTGCTAAAAGTATTAGAGTCAATTGAGAATAATTTCCACTAATTAATTACTCGATAAAATTTTAAGGCTCATTGGATAACACAAATTTAAGCTGGTACCATCTTTTGATGGGCGTTGTGAGGGTGCTATAACCTTCCTCACACGTAACCGAACTCCCGAACCTTGTTCTGGTTAGTAGACCTGAACCTATTCTTTTAGGGACCCTTAAAATTAGGTGTTCCCTGAAATGACAGATTCTTTAGGTGGCCAATCACACCTAGATAAAAAGATTGGTGGTGACTCCCTAAAAGTCAATGTCTAGCGATAGATCTCCGGATCTAGAAGTTATGACAATACTTTGTAAGTTGTAAACAATTCCCTCTTAGGAATTCAATGATATACCATTTTTATGTCAACTATCCACTCAATGTTAGGGTCATGATTACAATCACCATGTGTACAAATCTAAGTAATTAAATCATTATCTAAATTCATTGCTACAATATTGTCATCATCTGAACTATTGTCTTTTTCATCTTTTTGCTCTTGCTTCAAGATTTTAAAATATTGCTTTATATGACCTAGTTTTCCATAATAGAAGCGCTTCATTTTATCTCTAGACTTGGATTTATATTTAGATTTACTATGGCTTTTTGAGTTATGACCTCTATTGATGTTCTTACCCCTATTCTTTATGACAATAGCTTAATTCTCAATGTCTAAATCTTTTCGTCTTACTTCTTCATTAAGCATGCTATTATTTACTGTCTTCAAAGTCACCTTGTAATCAAGAGCTAAATTAAGAATAGTCACAACTAGAGTAATCCAGCTGTCTAGCAATGAACTTAAAAGAAACAACACATTTATTTCATAATTCATTTTAAGCTCTATAGTAGTCATCTGATTAAATATATCTTGAAAATCACTTAAGTGCTTTATAATTGATTGTCCATCCCTGGACTATAAAGTTATAAGCTTTTAATTAAGTATAACTTTATTCATGCTTGTTTTCTTTTCATACAATACTGCTAATTTTTTTCAAATAGTGTGGGCATCTGTCTCTTATGTTACATGATGGAATACATTGATATCAACTCATTTTTTTATTATAGCTGTAACTTTCTACCTAGCTTTTTTCAATTTTTATCTTTTGTATTTGTTGGCTTAACTAAATCACCTACTATTGCCTCAGACAAATCTTTATAGTATAAATGATCTTCCATCATAGGCTTCCAAATTGAATAATTTGATGCTGTCAATTTTATCATGGAACCTATATCACCTTTTATCATCTCAAATAGAATTTACTTTTCTCTTGGGTTGTTTCTGTATCAATGTCTCAAAATCCCTCATCTGATACTAGTTGTTAGGCCTGAAGTGAAAAATACAATAACATAGAAATAATATATCGTAATAAACTTACAGCAATAGATAACAATCAATAATCAACAACGTAGGAAAAATAAAGCACACCAAGATTTATGTGAAAGCCCCTCTAGTGTAGAGAAAAAAATGATGGACCACCAAAAAAATCTCTACTATCAAAAAATAGATATACAAATGAAAAAATCTTACCAAATAGGTGACTCAACAAATACACCCTACTATCAAAAAATAGATATACAAAGTTCTCCTCTAGTTAAAACTAGAGCTAATCAACAATTAGAGAGACAAATGAAAAAATCTTACTAAATAGGTAACTCAACAAATACACCTTAGATTTGTTCCTAAAGAGTTTCAAACCCAATTTCCACCGTTCAAAATGTAAAACATTGAATCATGAACCTATTGACAAAATTTCAGCTCAATTAAATCATAGACTGACTTTTGTTCAACCAACTCTCTCTTCTCTCTTTTATCTTTATCTTTTCTTGGCTTTTATTTTCTTCTTAGTTTTGGTGCTACTCTCTCACTTTCTTTTCACACCAAAAACTACCCCACTTTTATATGTAGGGCTTTATTTTATGGTCAAAGGCAAAAAGGCTTTAGGCCTTTTAATTGGCCAATCAATTGGATTGGACCCCCATATTCCTAACAAATAGTTGTAAATGAGTGTCTTATTTGAAAAATACCAAACAAAAGAAAATAATAAATGAAGTGTCTTATTTGTAGGTGAAGTTCACTAAATATATTTTTATATGTGTTTTAGACTATTAATTATAGTATATCATCTTCAATAAAACTAAAAATATTGCATACATGAAATCTAAAACTTTAATTTTTTATCATTGTTACCATACTAGCTTTTATTTAAGTTTCCTTTTCAACTTAATGTTGTGCCTTTTTACACCAAAAAAAAAAAAGGAAAAATGGTATAATTTAGTCAAATTGGAATAAAAAATGAGATTTATAAGTAGTATCTATACAAATATTAAAAGTAGTCTCCTATCTCAATTTTATCGTCCATATTTTTAAAATCTTAGAAAAATTAAAGGTTAATTTGGGTCATAAAAAACTGCTTACAAGTGTTTCTTTCCTCTATCGTAATGTCTTAAGTTGTCCTCTCTCTCTTTTTCTCTTTGTCTTCCTCTATTGTGCATTGCTTTTTTTTTTTTTCAAATATTGGCTTTGATTGCTTCTATAACTTGGGTTTCCAAGAAAGCTAGGGCAGTTTAACATTCTCATGTAAGTTATATCCAAGTCTTTAGTTTTTTCCTATTCCTTTCTTTTATTTTTTTGTCTACTATCATCAAGATCTAATTAGTTATTTCTATTTGGTTTTTTTAAAAAAATAAACAAAGTCCATGAAGTAATCATATTAATTTTTCATTCTTTATTATTAAAGTTGGTGTTTTATTTAGTTTATTATGAGATTTGATTAGTTTTTGCAATTGGACTTTCAAAGATAAGAGAAATCCCATAAAGGAATCTAAGTTAAACACTGAGCAAATTGGACAAAATCTAATAAAATTGATAAGTAATCTATGTTTCTCAATTTTTGTGTTTTTAGTGTTAATAAAATTTTGCATATATGATTTTTTACTCTTTTTTCCATATATCATTATTCATATATGATTTATACTATTACCCATATTTTCTCTCAATATGAAAAAAATAATAATAAAATAATTTAGAATTTTTCTCTCTCTCTCACCTTTTTCTTTGCTTTAATTTCCAGTATCTCCGATCTCTAAAACTCGATTGACCATTAAAGAGAGAAAGAAAGATATAAAACCAAAGGTTTTAACCCTAATTTTTCTTGGAAATTCATTTAAATCTTGATTTTATTTTTTCTTAACTAATTTGATTAATTGTTTTGATCTATTTTGACTTTTAGTTTTTTATTTTTTAGAGCTAAAAAGAAGTTCAAGTTTTCATCGCTATTACATTAGAAATAAACAATGAAGATAAAGAATAATGAAAGACTTACCAATTTGGCTTCAGTAGATTTGGTGAATTTGAGATGCAAGGCTTGCAAGTTTTATCTCTTATTTTAGCTGTTTCATTTTTTTGTATCTATTGTATTTTATATTTTTCTAACATTCCACCGTAGCTAGATTATGCTATTTGGGTTGCACAGTCCATACCCCTATGCCTAATCTACCTCTTCTTCACACAACTTTTTTCTACCAAGTTCTATGCCTCTCCCTTATCACCCATTATGATAAAGTTCTTTTCAATTACCCATTTTCTCATACTATTTATGTTTTGTTTCTTGTGGATGTTTTAGCTTTGGTTGTTTGGTTGCAGGGATAATGCAACTAAAAATGTTGTTATAAGGGTCATAATATTAACTTCTCGCTTAATACAAGGTAGGACAAAATGGCACCAATTCTCAAAGATTGTTCAATTCGGATTCCTTCGAGATAGTTATGTATGCCTTTTGGTCTTAATGATTGTGGTAAATTTACCCTTTTAAAGGTACATTTAGTCTCAAAATTTCTTTTTCCTTAATGGAAAATCAATACAAGTATTAATAATCTAAAATAGAAAATGTCACTTTCTCCACCTAATACGATAATGGATCAATTTCAATTTTCCTAAGAATTTGTAGGCTTCGTCATTGAAATTTTCAAATAACCATATGTGCTTTTAAAGAAGTGTAAATAACTAGGAAGATAATGGCTTTTTATGGTGAGCAAATAGCATTGTTTATCTAAGAAAAAGTATGCTGCCATTATGTGTTTGATAAACTATTGGTTTTCTTTTTGTTCTAAAAATATAACTTGAATTAT